GAGACGCACACAGACTGAGGGTGAAGGGATGAAAAAAGGTTTTCCAGGCGAATGGAAATGAAAAAAAAAAAAAGCTGGGGTAGCAATACTTATATCTGACAAATTAGATTTCAAAGTGAAGGACATAAAAGATAATAAAGGTCACTTCATAATACTAAAGTGATCAATCCAACAAGAAGAAATAACCCAGGTAAATATATATGCACCCAATATAGGAGCACCCAAATACATAAAAAAAACCAAAAAACAACTACTGTAGGACATTAATGAAGAGATTAATAGCAATACAATTACAGTAGGAGATTTTAAAACCCAACTATCACCTTTGGACAAATCATCTAAACAAAAAATCAGCAAAGAAGCATCAATCCTAAATGATGCACTAGACCAGATGGAATTAATTGTCATCTTCAGAACATTTCAACCCAAAGCCACAGAATATACATTCTCCTCAAGTGCATATGGGTCATTTTAAAAGATAGACCACATGTTGGGACATAGGCAAAGCCTCTTCAAATTCAAGAAGATAGAAATCATATCAAGCATCTTCTCAGATCACAGTGGCATAAAACTGGAAATTGACTACAATAAAAATAATCCAAAGAAACCGAACACATGGAGACTAAACAGCATGCTATTAAACAAGGACTGGGTTACCAGAGAAATCAAAGAAGAAATTAAAAACATCCTTGAAACAAATGACAATGAAAACACAACAATCCAAAATCTATGGGACACAGCAAAAGCAGTTTTGAGAGGGAAGTTCATATCACTACAAGCCTATTGCAAAAAGAAAAAAAGAAAAAATGGTAACAAATTATTTAACTCTATAACTCAAAGAGTTGGGAAAAGAGCAACAAGAAAAGCTCAGTGTAAGCAGAAGGAAGGAAATAATAAAAATCAGAGCAGAGATAAATGACATAGAGACCAAAGAAACAATACATAAGATCAACAAAACCAAAAGCTGGTTCTTTGAAAGGATAAACAAGATTGATGAACCTCTAGCCAGGCTAACCAAGAAACAAAGAGAGAGGACTCAAATAAACAAAATCAGAAACGAAAGAGGTGAAATAACAACAGACTCCGCCGAAATACAAATGATTGTTACAAAATACTATGAACAACTCTATTCCAACAAACTGGACAACCTGGAGAAAATGGACATATTCCTAGAAAAATACAACCTTCCAAAACTCAATCAGGAAGAATCTAAGCATCTGAACAGACCAGTGACTTTGGAAGAAATTGACAGTCATCAAAAAGCTTCCAGCAAACAAAAGTCCAGGGTCAGATAGCTTCACAGGAGAGATTTACCAAACATTCCAGGAAGAACTAAAACCTATCCTCCTCAGACTATTCCAAAAAATTCAAGAGGAAGGAGCACTTCCAAACTCCTTCTATGAAGCCAGCATCACCCTAAAACCAAAACCAGATAAAGACAACACAATGAAAGAGAATTACAGGCCAATATCCCTCATGAACATAGATGCCAAAATCCTCAACAAAATTCTAGCAAATCGGATCCAGCAGTACATCAGAAAGATCATACACCATGATCAAGTATGATTTATTCTGGGAATGCAAGGATGTTACAATATCTGCAAATCTGTAAATGTGACACATCACATAAACAAATTAAGAGATAAAAACATATACTCATATCAATTGATGCAGAAAAAGCATTTGATAAAATCCAACACCCTTTCCTGATAAAAACTGTCAACAAGGTGGGAATAGAAGGATCATACCTCAACATAATAAAAGCTATATATGATAAACCCACAGCCAATATCATACTCAATGGGCAAAAACCTAAAACCATTCCCTCTAAGAACAGGAACAAGACAGGGATGCCCACTCTCACCACTCCTGTTTGACATAGTACTAGAAGTACTAGCTATTCAACTAGACAGGAAGAGGAAATAAAAGATATCCAAATTGGAAAAGAAGAAGTAAAATTGTCCTTATTTGCAGATGACATGATATTGTACATAAAAAACCCAAAAGACTCCATCAAAAAATTAATAGATTTAATAAATGAATTTGGCAATGTAGCAGGATACAAAATTAATGCCAAGAAATCTATGGCATTTCTATACACTAATAGTGAATTTACAGAAATAGAGACTAAAAAAGCAATCCCATTTACCATCACACAAAAAATTAAGATACCTAGGAATAATGATAACTAAGGAGGTAAAAGACCTATACGTGGAAAACTACATGACACTGAAAAAAGAGATAGAGGAAGATGAAAACAGATGGAAGAACATACCATGTTCATGGATTGGTAGAATCAACATCATCAAAATGTCCACACTCCCCAAAGCAATTTTTAGGTTCAATGCACTTCCCATTAAAATACCAAGGCATATTTCACAAACCTAGAAAGAACTCTCCAAAAATTCATATGGAACAAAAAAAGACTCCAAATAGCCACAACAATCCTGAGAAAGAAGAGTAAAGTAGAAGATATCTCAATAACAGATTTAAAGCTGTATTACAAAGCCACTGTTCTCAAAACAACCTGGTACTGGCACAAGAACAGATATATAGATCAGTGGAATAGAATAGAGAATCCAGATATCAACCCAAATCACTATGCTTAATTAATAGTTGACAAAAGAAGCACAAACATATAATAGAATCAAGACAGTATCTTCAATAAATGGTGTTGGGAAAATTGGACAGATACATGCAAAAGAATGAAACTAGATCACCAGTTTACATCAGGCACAAAAATAAACTCAAAATGGATAAAGGACTGAAACATAAGACAGGAAACCATAAAAAATACTAGAGGCATCCACAGGCAGAGAAATCTCAGACATATGCCAAAAGAACTTCTTCACTGATACTGCCCCTAGGGCAATGGAAGCTAAAGAGAAAATAAACAAATGGGGCTACATCAAAATAAAAAGCTTTTTTACAGCAAAAGAAACCATAAACAAAACAACAAGAAAGCCCAGTACATGGGAGAACATATTTGCAAATGTTATCACTGATAAAGGTTTAATCTCCAACATCTATAGACAGCTTATACAACTTAATTAAAGGAAGATAAATGAGCCAATTAAAAATGTGCAATGGACCTAAATAGAATATTTTCAAAAGAAGACAGAAGGAAGGCCAAGAGGAACATGAAAACATGCTCAAAATCACTAATTATCTGAGAGATGCAAATCAGAACGACAGTGCAGTACCATTTCACACCTGTCAGAATGGCCAACATCAACAAATCAACAATCAACAAGTGTTGGTGAGGTTGTAGATAAAAAGGAACCCTTGTGCACTGCTGCTGGGAATGCAGACTGGTGCAATCACTATGGAGAACAGTCTGGAGCTTCCTCAAAAAACTGAAAATGGAACTCCCATTTGACCCAGTAATCCCACTTCTAGGATTATATCCCAAGAAACTAGAAACACGAATCAGAAAGGATATATGCACCCTTATGTTCATAGCAGCACAATTTACAATAGCTAGGATTTGGAAACAGCCTAGGTGCCCATCAGCAGATGATTGGATAAAAAAACCATGGTACATCTACACAATGGAATACTATGCTGCCATAAAAAAGAAGGAATTCTTATAATTTACAGAACCCTGGATGGAATTGGAGAATATCATGCTGAGTGAAATAAGCCAGTCAATGAAAGAAAAACACCACACGACCTCACTTATTTATGGATAATAAAGAACATTATAAACTGATGAACCTAAAGATAGATATAGAGAGAGTAAAGCAACAAGCAGACTGTCAAATTACAGCGGAGAGGGTAGGGAGATATGGTGGAGATAAGAGATCAATTGAAGGACTGATATGCTTGCATATAAGCATAACCAATGGATGAAAACTCTGGGGAGGGAAGTCGTGTATGCAAGAGGGGGGAATTGGTAAAGTATGTACACATATAATACCTTAATAAACTCTAAAATATATAAAAAATAACATTGACAAAAAAGTCCTATTAACTGATAGATTAAATACAAAGTTTAGAATCAATAAGGTGACTGTACACTCAGTAATAATTAATTTTAAAAACAAAAGTCTAAATTTTTAAACACTATGTTTTTTATTATAGTGTAACAATTTTAACTAAAAATATTTTGAAGTCAATTATCAGAGGACACTGCTCTTAATTAGCAGAAAGATAGATTTTAAATCTCAATTCCTGTCCACTTCTGGGTGTCAAGGCCTATAACCAGTCAAGTCTTCAACAAGTGCAACTGAGAAGAAGGTCTCTGTGAAAGAGCTCTATCACACAAAAAATGGCCAATTAAAAATTCCTTTTCTATTTATTAAAATCAATTCTCAACCAGTTCTCCTTTTCTATAGCATAAAAAGTTTTATGTACTCAAACACATACAGCCATTTTCTTTTAAACTAGTCTTTTTTTTCAATATCTCATGATTTCTACCTTTTTCATTAGTTTCCAATATGTTTCTTTGATCCTAAGCTATAAGAACCAACCAAAAGCCTTTCCAAATTATAATATACTAGAGGCCTGGTGTACAAAATTTTTACACAGGAGTGGGCAGTGTTCTTCAGCCTGGCCTGCATCCTCTTGCAATCTAAGTCCCCTTGGGGGATGTCCAACTGCCAGTTTAGGCCTGAGATCTCAGAGATCCCTGTGGGACTCTGCAGTTGGACATGCCTCTTCACAATCCAGGACTACTGGCTCATAACCACTAACCTGGCTGCCTGCTCTATCACCCCTAACTACTCACCTGTTTGTCTCATTGCCTCTATCCCTCTCCCTATCTACCTGATCACCCCTAACCACTCACCTTCCTGTCTGATTGCTCCTAACCCCTCTGCCTGCCTGCTCCCCTGACTGCCTGATTGACCCTAAATACCTCTGCCTCACCCCCACTGCTGTGGCTTCATCCAAAGGACATCTAGAAGGTTATTCAGCTGTCCGGTCTAATTACATATTACCCTTTTATTATTATGATTTGGAATTCTTGGCATAGACTAACAAAAACAAAATTGACTTACCAACAAATATTAGATAAACTAATCCCAGTAATGACACTAAGGCTGTAATAACCAAGCGTGAAATCAGAAGAGAACCATGTACCAGGATACACTCTGCAAAAACAAATAAAATTTTGTATTAGAAACTCACATGAAATAATTGAACCTCTTAAAAGAATGAATCACAGAAATTACATTAAATTTTAGGGAGAGTAGTTATTTTTCTCATTATCAAGAAACAAAAATTACTGCTGTGTAGTTCAGTGGTTGAGCATCAACCTATGAACCAAGAAGTCATAGTTCGATTCCTGATCAGGGCAAAGCCTGGTTTGTGGGCTCGATCCTAGTAGGAGGCATGCAAGAAGCAGCCAATCAGTAATTGTTTCTCATCATTCATATTTTTTATCTTTCTCCCCCTATCCCTTTCTCTCTGAAATCAATAAAAATATATTTAAAAAAAAGAAACAAAATTTACCTACACTTGTAAATACCCTTATTAATTCAGTGCAATGATTCCACATTCCTTTCCCTGTATGGAAAGAAGAGCCTTTGCTTGCATAGTGTGTACCTTATCCCACCCAAACTAATGGGAAATATTCTGTGAGGCCTACACCTCCACCCAAAAGGTTCTTTTAAAAGCTCATCCATGAATACAGGCATGGCAGTTTGGCCACTAAATAATCAGCCAATGATCTCAGTAGGGCCAAAGGAATAAAAAAATAAATATCTCACAACACTAACTGCTGGCAAGAATGTAGAGCAACAGGAATGTTCATTACTGGCTGGTGAGAAGACAAAATGGTGCAGCCACTTTGTAGGACAGTTTGTTAATTTTCTACAAAACTAGATATATCCTTAACATGCAATTTAGCAATTGCACTCCCTAGTGTTTTCCCAAATGAATTTGAAAAATATGTTCATACAAAAACATGCACTTCTACATTGTGTGTCTAGATCTGTAATTTTATAACAAATCAATACCTTGCCCTGTACAGAAAGCAACCAAGATGCCCCTCAATAGTTGAATAGATATATAAATTATTGTCTATTCACACAAACAGATATTATTCAGTGCTAAAAAAATAAATGAGTTATTAAGCCACCCAAAGACATGGAGGAACCTTAAATGCACACTCATAAGTGAAAGTAGCCAATGTGACAAAGCTAGATACTATATGATTTCAAGTATAAGACACTTTGGAAAATGCAAACCTATTGAGGCAGTAAAATGATTGGTGGTTGCCAGGGGTTTCAGAATAGGGAGGATGAACAGGAAGAGCACACAGGGTTTGGGAGAAGGTAAACTTTGCTACATGATAATCTATGAGTATGGTCCATATCACTATACATTTATAAAAATCATGGAACACACAACACCAAGACTGCACCCTTATGTAAACGCTGTACTTTGGGTGATAATGTTGTGGCAATGTTGGTTCAACAGACTGTAACAAATGTACCTCTTGGTGGGAGATGTTGATAGTGGAGGAGGCAGTGAGTAGATGAAGTAGAGGGGGATTCTGTATTTTTCCACTCCATTTTGCTATCCTAAAATACTCTAGCAAATAAAATCTGTATATTTAAAACAGAATAAGAAAGACAAAGAAAAGGAAAGAGAAAGGGGCTCTAAGAGAAATTACTGGTAAAAGAGAAATTGTTTAGAGAATACTGTGACCCTTACCTGAGATAGAGAAGCTTAGTCCGGTCAGAGTGATAACAAGGCCCAGAGCCTGAATGGCCCATAATATGATGCTGATGTGGTGCATCCCATTAACTGGAGCTTCAAGGAAAAAGCATGTTGCAAGTGTTTAAGAAGCAATAACTTCCACTTGTATTTTATACAGTCAAGGTCAGTATCCTGGGACCAACGACTAATTCTGGAACTCCCTGCCAGGTGGTGGCTGCTTTCCCAGTGACCTAGCCATCTCTCTCCTGGAGTCAGCTCCACATTCACACCCTCAGCAGCCTTTCGTTTTTGCTGGGAGCTAGGCTGGATTGTCAGTTTTTACCCCAGATCTTAGAACAATGCTGCTTTTACCACACGTGTGTATTTTCTTTTTCTTTTTCTTTTTTTTTTTAAATATACTTTATTGACTTTTTCAGAGAGGAAGGGAGAGGGATAGAAAGCTAGGAACATCAATGAGAGAGAAACATCAACCAGCTGCCTCCTGCACACCCCCCAGCAGGGATGTGCCCGCAACCAATGTACATGCCCTTGACCAGAATTGAACCCGGGACCCTTCAGTCCACAGGCCGACGCTCTATCCTCTGAGCCAAACCAGTTTTGGCACACGTGTGTATTTTATAATAGGGGTGGTTATTAGCAGGGCTTCACCACATGCACACAAAATCGCAACCCAGAGATAGGCTCTCATACCAAGAGTTAAATGTGCAAATGGAAAAAAAAAATAGGTTCTTTAATAAGAAAAATATTTAGTGATTTAATCCAAAAATGTAGTGAAAAATGTTACCAATTATAGGTTGGCTAGCTCTATCATCTTTTAAAACTCAATGTTGAAGGATGCCCAGGACCAAACAAGAAATGGTTGGAACTGCATTAACACCATTTGTCAAACAATCAGATCTGAAATATCATGGCTGACATGTACATATAAGGAACTGTTTGACATTGAAATGGGGATTCTGTTGACCCAGAAAGGAACTCGCTACAGACTGATTCATTCGCCTCTCAGCATAACTATTATGGCTTGTTTCAGTTTCAGTTCTTATAGAAGAATTCCTTGTATCACATAATCTAAAACATCTAGGGGAAATAATGGACAACATAAACTGATGAACAGAAATAGACCTGGAAATAGAGAAGCAGCGATCAGATTGTTGGGCCTCAGAGGGAAGATAGGGGAGGGTAGGGGCAAAGGGAAGATATCAACCAAAGGACTTGTGTGCATGCATATAAGCCTAACCAGAAGTCATGAACAACAGGGGGTGGGCATACATGGGGAAGGGCTTGGGATGGGAATGGGGTAATGAGAAGAATTATGTGACACCATAACCAATAAAGAAATTAAAAAAAAGATTTGTAATAACTCTTTATGATTTACAACACTATTTTGTATAACTAGTTTTTTAAAAGAGTTTTAGCAAAAGAAGAGAATGAGAATGTTTATTATCTATTCATAATTTCAAAAACTGAAATAAGAATATGAAGATCATCATTAAGAAATTATATAATATAATTTTAAAAATCCATTGGCTGGCATTAAAAATATCTCTGAAAATCAGTTTTTATAAAATAACTATGTTAAAAACTAATATAACATTAAAATTAATCCATATGGGGGAAATTTTTCACTAAGAATAGCTAGGGAGACAAACCAACCTTTATTGTATTATAAAAATGCAAGAATTATTTTATTAATAATCAAAAATGCTTTTTAAATGAAAAATGACACAAACATGCTAAAATAATAAATACGTACCTATAATAAACATAGAGGTCTGACATAATATTAATATTATTGTAGGTACTACAATTAAACCAAGTCCAGTGGTCCCCGATGTTGAATATACACCTGTTGATAAATAAAATTAACATTTAAACTATTTTCCTACATACTTTCTACTCTGTGGGAAGTTAAAGTACTTAATTTATTAAATGTATTAATCTGAATACTGCAGAACGTTTAAAAATAAATGCTTTCCCTAAAACCTCACACAAAATAAGTGACAATTTTTTTAAATTTAAGACCAAACTGAAGACATCTAAATATCCACAGCTAAGTCTCAACAAGTCAAAACCTTCAATTGACTTTTTCTCCTTAACTACCTTGGAGCCTCTTACCAATCCCTTCATTTGCTATATTCAGTCTGCCCCCAAATCAAAACAACCATTCTTTGTAGTTGTCTTCTTAATTCATCTCTTTCTTCCCCACACCCTCACTAACTCCAGCTGCAAAGAGAGCTGCCAAATTTCTGTTCCTAAACATTAGACCCATATTGTATTCTGTTAATAAAATTAAGGCTTTCTACTGTCTCCACTTTGAGCCCCAGCCTATCGCAGCTGTTCTTTTCATGGGTTGCATATCCTCATTTCCCAATCTCATTCCCATCTTCCAAAGGCAAATGCAGTTTCAGATTGATTTGTTTCCCATGTTCATTCCCAGTTCCATGTCTTGGCCTGTGAAGTTTGCCTTTGCAGTGGGTTGAACGGTGGCCCTAAAGATCTGCCTACCTCCTAATTCCTGGAAGCTGTGAATGTTAATTCATACAGCCAAAGAACGAGCATTACATTATATGAATTAGTTTAGGTTCTTGAAAGAAGGAACTTACCCATAGACTTATGAGGTGGGGCCTAAATGATAATTGTCTTTGGAAGAGAGACGTACAGGAGTTTTAACAGAGTGGAACTGGAATTATGCTGCCACAAGCCAAGGAGTTGCCAGTTGCCAGCAAACACCAGAAAACAGAAGACGCAAGGAAAGGATTCTCCCCTAGAGTTTCACCCCTCACCCCAATGTTCTCAACCTTATCAACCATGACTTCCCTCACAGCAACCGCATATCTTACCTGGGGTGAATAAAATGACTCCAACAATGACAAGTATACTGAGGATTAGTCCAGTCACAGATAAAATGATGATTTTCTCCTTCGTAATATTGGAATTATATTTAAGTACTTGAAAGAAAACACACACACACACACACACACACACACACACAAAGAATTACATGAACTCAATATCAAGAAGTGAAGTCATTTTTGTAACTTAAAAAGTGCAGAGACAAACTAGTAACTTCCTATAATTGACTAACCTTTGAGTAATAACCCAGTTGTATAATGTCCAAGCACCTCAAATCTTTTTCATAATTCTGTCAATGTCTAAACAGTGTCATGGCAGTATATATATATGAATTCTGAATTTATGGGTGATGCTTTTATTACCTTACACCTTAAAGATAAAGTCGTATACACCATGCTTTCTCAATTGGGACTTTATTAACATTGGGGCCAGATAAATCTTTAGGGTGGAAGGGGGGCTGTTCTGCACATTTAGAAGGTTTAGTAACATCCCTGTCTTCCTCTAAACTGCATACCAGTAACAGACCCAATTGAATCAATCAATTGTGAAATGTCCCCTGAGGAGTAAAACTGCCTCAGCCTTACAACTGATATAAATAATGCTGATGGGAAGTAACTGGCTAATTAGTAATACTGAGAAAAAGAGAACTTTGTTCCATCTTCCAAAAAAGATAAACATCTGGAAATCTAGATACTTTATTTTGAAAAAACTATAATAAATTTGGACTAATCACACCCTCCTGATATCCTGAAGGGGATGCTTAAATTGTTCAGGTAATATATATATATATATATATATATATATATATATATATATATAGAGAGAGAGAGAGAGAGAGAGAGAGAGAGAGAGAGAGAGAGAGAGAGCGCCAGGGTCCATAAGGACCAAGGATTGACTGAACATCTGAAGTCAGTGCTAGGTTGCCATGGCAACCCAACACTGATTGCAGCTGGTGCTGGCACAGTGACTCAGCATTTACTGCGGAGGGGGCTGTGGATCAGGCCCAGAGAGAGGCCTGCAGAGAGAGGCAGGGTCTGATCAAGGCTACAAGGCAGCTGTCATTGCCTCTCTCTTTTTTTCTCCTGGGTTTGGCAGCAGCCAATCCTGTTTCTCTCCAGGCCTTCTCTGGGGCTTCTGATCAGCCCTACCTCTTTGATCAGGCCCAGAGATCTTCCCCGAGATGCTGACTGGCATAGAAACTGACCATTCAGCACCAAATCTGTGTGAAGTGCCAGGAGCCAATGGCTGCCTAGAAGGTGGAACTTTTGACACTGACTGGCATTGAAACCAACCAATCAGAACTAAATCTGGTTGAACTGGGAAGGCAGAACCTAAGGTGGGGGCTGAGGAGGGGTTTTAAGGATAACAGCTGTTTGGTGTAAGATGAAGAAAGTGGTTCAATTTTTTCATGACTGGTTTGGTAGTATAGTGCATATGGCTGGCTATTAGTCCAGATATAAGGATTATTATTATTATTATTATTATTTTGTCTGCCAAGAGCATCTCCTCCTGCTGAAAAAGGCTCTTCCCCACCCCCCCCCCACCCATTTATGAAATTTGCATATCCCTAATATGCAAATACACCAAATGGCAGGACAATCAAACAACTGAACAACTAAACAACCTGTCACTATAACGGGTGCTGACCACCATGGGGCATGTGTAGAATATGGTGGGCATCAGCAGCAAGTGCAGAGTGCAGAACATATTGGGCATTGGCTGTAGCAGGTTGGTGGAGCAGGTGATTCGGGGCACCAGACCAAGGCGGGGCATTGTGACTGTCATTAGGGCGAGCCTCTGGTGGTTACTGAAAATTTTTTGTTCCTCCGTGCCGTGGTCCCGCTGGGTGCTTGTACCTGCTGTGGGCACCAGAGCTGCCACTTGTATCCGCTGCCAGTGCCTGATGCTGGTCCTAATTGCTTGGTGCTTTCAGTGGGTGTGAGTGGCTGCTGTCAGCCCCAATTGCTCCTCAGGGCTTCTCCACCTCTCCCTGCTCCTGAGGGTCAATCAAGGCGATCAGTTGCTGCTTGCATCCATTGCTAGAGATGGCCTCATTCACACCACTTCCCTGGCTAGAGCTGACATTTGCACCCACTGCCAGAGCCAGCCCCAGTCGCACCCACAGCAGGTGCCCAGTGCCAGTCCTTATCACTCAGCATCATCAGCATTTTACAAGTGGTGGCTGCTGGCTCCTATTGCCCCTGAGGGGTTCTCCACCTCCCCCTACTCCTGAGGAGAGATGGGGGCAGCAGCCACCACTTGCACCTGCTGGTAGCAGAGAATAATGGAGCCCAGTGCTGTCAGTATGTCGGAGTAGTGGTGGTGGGCTGGGGCTGCTGGCAGACAAGGGGCTGTGGGCTGTGGTGGGAGAGGCCAGGCAGAGGTCCAGATGGGCTGAGACCCACCTCTGGGCCCACCACAGTCTAGCAGTCCACAATTCCTTTCAAGGTGCATGAATTCATGCACTGGGCTCCTACTAATTTCATAAAAAAATAAACTATTCATACTCAACAGGACTCATTAACTCTATTTCCAAGTACCTGGTATCTCTTGGAAAGAATAATGTAATTGTATGTCTAAAAATGTTATTTATTTTATTATATCTTCAGGTTAGTGTTTTGGTTAATAGTAAAATCAACTTTTTACCATAGAAGTTGTTAAAGTTACCTAAAAACAGACTGGATAGCAGAGAGAAACAGGGCATGAGTGAAATTCTGTTTTGCTTTATTCAGGCCACTAATCAATATCCTGAGAGGACAATTTTAAAAAATGTTATATTTAGAATTAAGTTTGCTTCCACTAAAAGGACAAACAGATTCAAACAGTAAGAGCAATAAATAATCTCATAAATGACCATGCTAACATCTATTCAAGGTATTATAACTTAGGGTTATATGATAACCTATGGCACCTGAAACACTACATATTCATACTTTAGACTGTAATTCTCCACTTTGTTCTCATTTTGTGGGGATGGAGAGGTAATCAATCATTAGTCCTGAAGCTGAGTAACTGAAATTCACATTAATCAGGAAAGAGTGAAAAACAATATGGCAAGTTTCCCAGGTATGGAACTTACCCCTCAGTTACATAAGTTGTGACCATGACTCAGTCATATCCCTGCCTTAGAACAGGGCACAGAATCCCTATTTTCTAGACTCAAACACTAGTGAGGATAAAATTCAGTGTATAGGTTACAAAAGGTGCAAACATAGATAGAAAAATAAACTTTCTCTATACATATCTCAAGTTTTCCATTCAATTCAATGCATATTGTTATGTAATAGAGATTGAAGGTTCTACAAAAGGGTTATGAAATAGAAGCTGTTTCAAATGTTCATCACAATTAAACATTCAAAAGATGCTCTCCCAGGCTTAATTGAATACATAAAAGTACTACTGAGATCAAGCAGCAAGAATTCACCTTTAGACTACAGTAGAAGTTCATGCAAAAAAGGCTGACTTAATAAGAGTTTGATTCTCAAATAAAACTCAACCTCTTCAGGCTTACCAACAGTAACAACAAAAATAAAACACCATAAAATACTACAATTAATAATGTTTTACTATAGAACAACCTTTTGGAGGTAGTTTTAGTTTCTGTTGATGGGTTCAACTACTAAATATTTTCAACGCTACTTCCAACTCCCATAAATTAAGCAACTATTTCTAACAAATATATTAGTAAAATCTACTTAATCACAGGCAGTGAAAGAGGATTTATCTCCTTGTTTTGTTTAGGGAATCCTTTAAAATGAGTTTCTTTTGACTTATTTCCTTTGCCATAGTGGCCACATTTTAGCACATCCCACAGAAAGTGAGGAGAAGGTATTTTATGATTCAGTTGATTTTTTTTTTTTCAGTGTAAAAAAAGGGGTTGCAATCTGATATATTTGTCATAGAACTCAGTAATCACAAGGAACCTTTTTTGGGCAATCTTTGTTTGTCCTTTAATAGGTATATTTATCCTTATTTGTCACATCTATAAAAATTTTAAATGTAAACAAAGAAAATAAATTCAACTCCACAAACACTTAGCATTAAAATAAAGATAATTTAATGTGTTCTTAATGGACTCTTATCAAACTTCCTAGTATGGTTTTCAGGCTTTTTGGCAAGACTATATAATTTTAAAAATATGTATCCCTTAAAATATTCCTCTCAACTAAAAGTACTGAAATCTACACACAAAGTAAAATATGAGAAATAACAGTATTTACACATTTTAAGTCCTGTTTACATGAGAAATAACAGTATTTACACATTTAAAGCACTGTTTTAGATTTACAACAAAATTTAAAGGGAGGTAAAGACCACCCCCCTATACTTCCTGCCCCCCCCCCACGCGTAACTCCCCCATCATCAACATCAGCCACCAGAAAGATGCAATTTTTACCAAGATAAACCTTAATTGACACATCATAATTACCCAGAGTCCATAGTTTGCATTAGGGTTTGTACATTCTATGGGCTTGGACAAGTGAAAAATGACATCTATTCATCATCATACCCTGTTTCCCCGAAAATAAGACAGTGTCGTATATTAATTTTTTCTCCCAAAGTTGCGCTAGGTATTATTTTCAGGGGATGTCTTATCTTTCCATGCGCTAGGTCTTATTTTCGGAGGATGTCTTATTTTCAGGGAAACACGGTAGTATCACACAGAGTATTGTCACTGCTGTAAAAATCCTCTCTGCTCTGCCTATGCATTCTGCCTGCACACACTTCTAGGAATGATTGGTCTTTTCATTGTTTCCACCACTTTGGCTTTTCCAGGATGTCTTGTATTTGGAAACATACAGCATGTAGACTTCTCAGATTGGCTTCTTTCACTTAGTAATATGCATTTAAGGTTTCTACATGTCCTTTCATAGCTCAATAGCTCATTTCTTTTATCTGGATGTATCACAGTGCATTTTGCCACTCACATACTGAAAACATCTTGGTTGCTTCCAAGTTTGGGAAATCATGTATAAGCTTCTATAAATATCCATGTGCATAAGTTTTCAACTCCTTTTGGATAGATACCAATGAGCACAATTGCTGGATCACCATGTAAAATATTATTTTGTAAGAAATTGCCAAACTGTCTTCC